TTTTGTCAGATACCTGAGCTGTTACTTGCAAAGGCAAACGGTAAAGATAAGAAGGAGGGTGAAAAGAAGGCACGGAAAGGTACGAATACTCTTGAAGAATAATATTTCTTTTAGTTCCATTTTACATAGCAACAAATCTTGAGACACTCAAGGAATCACTTTGACTCCATTGACAAAAAAATAACTAACTTTCTTTGGAAACAATGATCAAATTACAAAAACATGTTTCCTCTATTGTTATGTTATAATGTTATAATGTGTGCTCAGAACCTGGACAGGAAGATGTGAGCCGTCTGTTCCTCATGGTCCATGAGTCATGTCAAGAACATGGTGCAACACCCAGCCAGTATATGGCCTTTCTACACCTTTACAATGCAATTTATAGCAGGAAGAAGATGCAGCTCACAACCAGACAACAGCATCTGCAGGTAATACATGCAATGAAGTTGTTTAAAAATACAGTCACAGTGTCTTGTTGCTTTTTTTCACCTCCCACTACTGTTTAACCAGACTAGTTGTTCAGATGAAAAGCAGAACTGACTTTGACTTGTGCTTGCAGGCCGGTGTGTCGAAGCTTAATGAAGCCAAGGCACTGGTTGATGAGTTGAAGAGGCGGGCTGCAGAGCAAAGTGTGCTGCTGAGGACAAAACAACAGGAGGCCGATTCTGCCTTGCAGGAAATCACCACATCCATGCAGGTACAGTGTATCATTTGATTGGATTTGTATTGTCGTTTCCAAATTGTACACTGAGTGGCAGGCAGGATGGGTGTCTTGGTTAAACGCCATTCAGTGTCCTTGATGACTCACTGCACCTCTCCTCCTCTGCATCTCTTGCATTTCAAGTCTCAGCAGTGTTACCTATTCCCAGCTGTGAAGACCATATTCACTGAGCAAAAATGCTTTTGTTTGTTTCATTCCATCTGTTGTATTCATAATTCTGAACGCAGTAATCCCTTGACACTTCATGGTTTACGGCTGAAGTGCTTTGCGTTTCTCTTCCAAAATACTATGTGGTAAATGGGCTGTCACTTGTATAGGGCTTTTCTATGTTGGGCAGTCAAAGCGCTTCACACTGTGACCTCATT